AAAAAAAAAAAAAAAAAAAAGACATGGATGAACTCTTATTATGATGTTTTTAATATAAATTTGATAAATTAACGTCAAATACGTGTTTATTCTTATATGTTTGTTATTGTATTTAATACTTTTCAATTACTTGATCATTAATTGGATTGATTTGTGAATTTTATTGCTCTCGAAAGAGACAATATGGTAGATATCACATTATAACAACCATTATAAATTTCGATAGAGAATAAAGATATACCGCTATGCTTTATATAATTTCTACAGATGTTTTAGCATTTTTATTGCATACTTTCATGTTATTATCTTTCATATAGGAATGTCAAATGAGTGGATAGATTTAATTGATAGATACTGTTAATTAAATTAAGAATTTTGATCAACAAGAATATGCACATATGTCATGTTACTGAATTGCATTGAAACATATTAATAAAGGGAGTTTGAGCTCTTAGTAATCATCCAATCTAAATTTCCAAAAGATTCGTAATTTGCTTACTAAAACAATTAGTTTAGTTAATTGGTATAAATTATTCACACACTTGGCTATTCGATTAGAGTTATAATTGATTGACACTAGATTAAGTACATAGTTCTCATGAAAAAAATATTCATCATTTTATTGCTTGTTTATGATACTGTACATTTGTGGGCAACCAAACGATCAATAATCATTTCATATTTTCAATCATTGCCATCAATATGCACTATCAATTTATTTTTATTTTTTAATTCTAGCAAATTAGTCATCATTATTTTAAATTCAAGAAAAAATGATAATCCTAGCGGAAAACTCAAATTCTTGTTTTGAAAATCCTAGGAAAAAATTTAGCTATCAATGTTTTCAATTCAAGAAAAACAAGAAGAAAAAGAATTCCAACAAAAACTAAAACAATTCGGAATAAAATTTCTTACTGAATTCAAAAAGCACATTATCAGATAATTCAAACACAAATCAAGAATCTTTCAAATACTATATTCATTAATCTAGGTTTTGTTTTGGTTGAGTCTAATTCTTTTGGCAACTCTTACTTCTAGAGCAAAAAATTATTCTAATTTGTTATTTGTGGTATTAACTAAAGATAATTTAGAGTAAAAATCGTATGTATCTTTTGCGAGTATAAAATTGTACAACAAGTTTATAATGCTTACATGTCCTAAAGTTTAGCAACTCATTCGTAGGTTTGTAAATGAAAATGTGATTCTTATTTACTTCTATAGCTGAAAATTAGAAAAAATATTTATTCTTAGGGTATAAGTTAATTTTAAAAGAATAATTTGTTTATGGTTTTAGGCTTTTTGCCTGATAACTAAAATAAAGTATATAATACCAATAATATAGTATAATACAATTAAACTTTTTTTTTTTTGGGAAAGGGTCAAATTCGGTATTAATAGGTTAATAACAATCTTTAAATCTTAGTCTTTTATTCACTTCGAATTTAGCTCTATTCTATAAATAGATGTTAATATTAAAAATATGAATGTTGGAAACGAATAAAATGTACATAAAAAAATATATGGAGAGTATATGTAAATTTTTAGGACATGACTTTATGTGGTCAATTTCTTTGTTCTTTAACTCTGTGCTCTTTGTAAAGATTGATCAGAACAAATTACATAAATAAGCTATAGTTGACAAATATATGTTTCATTTTTACTTTTTCTTACCCTGAATCAAGAACCTTATCCGGTAAAGATATAACTTTCTTATTTTCTTGATTTGGGTGGTGTTGAGAATGTGCACTTTCGTTTGAAAATACATAAATAAAAATATTAAATGAAGTCTTAAATCACAATAATTATGAAGTAGAGTTTTTAAAATTATTTAATTTGGTCAGGTAAAAAAGCAACGAAGAGTATAATAAAGAGGAATAAAAATTATGTATTACACCTTCAGAAACAAATATCCCTGAAAGTACAAAATTGTTTATTTAGGGTTATTTGTGTCAATTAATCCTAAAATCCAAGTGAGCATTCACAAAGTCTTCAAAGCCCAAAGGCCCAAAAGGTAGTATATTGAAGTTTTATTTTAGTGGAAATTACTCTAATAGATTAAAAATTCATATTTCATAAATAATATGTTATGTTTAGTATTTCACAAATTAGAAATTTTTTTAATTAATTAATATATTTCAAAATTAATTAAATAAAACAATTTCAAACCTATTTCACAATTTATATCACGTCTCTCTCTCTCTCTCTCTCACCTCATTTTCCCCCACCCCGACTCTCTCTCTCTCTCTCTCTCCATCCCAGCTACAGCGACGACAGATACAGTACATTTGAGGCAAAATATGGCATATACAGTAGATTGCAGCGATAGTTGATATGGCGATACGCAAATCTACATGATTTTGTGACAGCAGTGGATATACAGATTGCGGCGGTGGATATGCAGATCGCGATTTTGTGGCAGCGGTGGATGTGGGGAAGTTTTTATGCATGGGTGTGGCGGTGTGCGGCGACGATGGCGTGTGTGCGACGGCGATGGGCTGGTGTTGGTGATCTGCACGATTTTGTGGTTACGGTGGTAGTTGTGGTAGATTGCGGTGGTCGTGGGGGGTTTGATTGATTTTGTGACAAATAATTTGACCCGTGACTTGAAAATTGTGATTGTGACTCCCAATTGTAACTAACAATTTGGGAGTCACAGTTGATCGTGGCGGTGGTTGTGATGGTCATGGTGGTTGTTGTGGCAGTTTGGTTAATTTGTGACTCACAATTAGATAAGTGACCTGAAAAATTGTGACTGTGACTCACAATTGGATCCGTGACTTAAAAATTGTGATTGTGAATCGTAAGTGTTGGTGGTGGTCACAAATTATTTGATTGATTGTGACCATTAAATTAGTTAATCTATAACCAAATAAATAATATGTGATCAATGAAAAAAATAAATTGTGACCGAAAAATAATGTGTGACTTAAAAAATTATTAATTTGTAACCAATGAGGTAACTGTAGAGAACCAACTACATTTACATTTGAAGAAGGCCTCGAAAAATTATGACGGCTGTCCGATTAGAGAATAATGACGAGGAAGCAAGCAATCATGACCAATGTTTAATTAATATTTACTCATATCCAAATGAATAAATAAATAAATAAATAAAATAAAGGGAAATTTTTTTTGTCCTTTGACCAGTGTTTTCATTTAAAAAAATGAAAGCTATTAAATTCTATTTTTTCCTTTTCACCCTTAAACCCTAAAGTAAAAGAAGTGGCTATTTCTCATTTCTCAACAGCCCAAGGGAACGATGAAGTAGCAACCGAGAAGAAGAAATTGAAAGGCATTTTCAAATTTCAACAACAACCAATGATCACTACTTGAGGAAATATTCAAGGAGCGAGGAAGATTAGGCCAAAATTCCCATTTTTTGAAGGTAAAAACTGGAAATGTTAGTTTGAAATCTGTCTTAGTTTGATAATTTTGTTTCTAAGACTGCTACTTTTAATCTTTCTCATTTTTGATGCAATTGCATTCACACGTGGAAAATATTTTAAATCTAATTCATACGTGAACAAATTGTTTGGCAGATGTTATCCACATCGCTATTATTGTCGTTACCCACTTGACACTTCATGCTTACAGAATTCACTAGAATTTTTTTGAAATTATCAAAACTTTTCACAAATTTGTCCTCCATATTTGAAGTTAAATTTCTAGCCCATTGGTTTATAGTCACCACCTAATCGACCTTTACAGGTGAAGTCACCAATTGCATTTGATTTTGAAAGTCTTGGTGGATATAGTGAAATTTTATAAATGATAGGATCTGTTTTCTTGCAGACAGAGCTCTATATATGTTTAGCTCGCGATGAGCTTCCTATTTTCCCGTCGGTATCACTATGCAGTATATCCTCAATCAATTGAATAAAAACAATTATTCACCAAAAATCTTTTACAATAGAAATGCAATATATTATAATTTATACTCGACTATCAAATGTGCATTTTTAAGCTAAACATTTTTTCTTAAAGGTGAAATAACATTATTATTACTGGTTGAATGATTCTCTATTCAAAATTCAAATTTTATTAACTTTGAACTTTATTGGTATGCTTTTTCCCTCTTTCAATTTATTGCTAGAATTTGGTCTAATTCTGAGCATTATGTTTGCCATTTTTAGTTGCTACTACTTTGTATCATAGTGTGATATATTTTTTGAATTGAGAAAAAATCATATCATAGTTTGAATTTGTATTAGCTTTCGATTGTCAGTTGAATATGCAAAAAAATGACTTTCTTTTTCTGTACTCGACTATGCCTTGAGTGCTTGTATAAGTTTGGTGAAAATGGAAAGCTCTATGTCATTTTTGACTCCCGCTTTTATATCTTATTTATCTCATTCACTGGAATTTTAAGCTCTTTGTTATTTAGCAAGTTAAAATCTTGACTTTACCAAAGCGGTTGGTGTTAGCATGAAACTATTAAGCTTAAACTAGGATTGAAAATTGATTGATTTATTGAAATAGTATTAGGACATAGAGTGGATTAAAAAATGTGAATCTCCTAATATTCTGCTGTATGTTGATTTTTCTTACTTTTCAAGGCTTAAGGAACTTTCATTTATTTACTTGTACAAGAAAAATCTTTCCATGAAACCAAGTGATTGCTGCCCCGAATTGTACTAGAACTTAAATTTCCATAGCCGGCAACTTAAATTTGCATATTCTTTCCTAGGTTATATTGGACTTTAACAAGTTCGAGAAGACTAACTTTAACATTCAATATATTTCGTTTAAAAACGTATAAGAAGACGAACTTTATTATATAGATACATTATTTAAGTATATATTGTTTTTGATTTTCAAGTATACGATTTATAATTAATTTAAATAAGTTAAATCATCATGTATAATGAAAGACGAGATGTCAATCAAACATGTAACCTTTTAAGTTAAATTATAATGCATGACATTTTAAACTGTGTTTCCTTTGCTTTCAAAATATTTCAGTTAAAAAATTTATAGAAAAATGAGTATATAATAAAAAAAAATAGAATGTGAATTTGAAAAATGACTCCAATCATTTTAAACGACTACAGTCGTTTTCTTGTTACAACTAAAAATGACTCTGATTGTTTTAAACGACATGAGTCATTTTTCATTCATCATTTGTTATGTGAAATAAAAGAACATGAAAAAAAAATCCAATATTCATAAAACACAAATTAGGTATGAATTATGACAAAAACTCACAGCGTAGAGCATACACTATAATATATATATGGGATCGGGCTCCACTACACACTGTTCTAGTATACCGCATTCGATTTTTTAAGTATAGAACTTACAACTGATTTTGATAAGTTAAACCATCTTGTATAATAGAAAAGCCAATTGAACTTCTAACATTTTAGAATGTGTTTGATTTCAACCTATATCGTTCAAAATGTACAAGAAGACGAACTTTGTTATATTCGACTCATTGTGCTCAACTATACGTAGTTCAAGTATACCATTTCAAGTTTAAGTATACATGTTACAATTGATTTCGTTAAGTTAAAACATCATATAGAATGAAAGATACGCCAATCAAATCTTTAACCTTCTAGACCGTGTTTGATTTTAATCTATTTTGTGTAAAAATGTATTGGAAGGTGAACTTCATCATAGTACTCTACTACACATTGTTCAAGTATATTGTATTAGATTTTTATGCACATGACTTATATTTTGATTTCGATAAATTAAATCATCATGTACAATGAAGAATGAGATGTCAATTAAACTTCTGAACTTTCAGGTTGTGTTAGATTTCGACTTATTTCATTTAAAAGGAAGTACAGGAAGATGAACATCATTCTATACAATTCATTAAGCTTCACTGCACACAATTCAAGTATATCGTAATTGATTTTTTTTTACATGACTTACAATTGATTTTGAATAAGTTAAACCATCATTTATAATGAAAGACGATGTCTTTCAAATTTTTAACATTTTAGTATATGCTTGATTTCAACCTATTTTGTTTAAAAACATGTAGGAAGAGAAACTTCATCATTGTACTCCATTACACATTGATCAAGTATATCATGTCGGTATTTAAGCATATGATTTAATTGATTTTGATAAGTTCATGTATAATGAAGGACGAGAGGCTAATCAAACATCTAACCTTTTAAAATCGTATTTGATTTCAATATGTTTCATTTAAAAACATAGTGGAAGATGAAGTTCATTATATACTATTTATCTTGCTCCACTGCACATTGTTCAAGTATACCGTGTTCGATTTTAAGTCATGATTTACAATTAATTTTGAATAAGTTAAACTATTGCATACTATAAAATGTGAGATATCATTTAAAATCAAAAGTGATAAATGAAAAACGACTGTAGTCGTTTAAAATGATTGAAATCATTTTTCTTTGAGAAAAAGTTTCTAATCGTGATCTAAATGGATTTTCTATCTGTCGTGAGTTGGTCATGACTATGCAAATTATAGCTAGGGGCATTTATGAAATGAAAACTCGTTTTTTGTTATTCACCTTTTCATGAAAAAAGTTATAAAAAGGGTATTATAGTCATTTTATGTAAAGGGCATTTAAGACAATCAACAGTATAGAAAAAGATAATTTAGACATTTTAACATAAAAAGAGGCCTTAAAAATTTATCTGGAGTAAGTTAGACCTCAAAAAGTTTTGAAGGATTTTATTAAAGTGGAAATTACATAAAACCAGGTATTTAAACTTTCAAATTCAAAATTGAGAGGCGAAGTCTATTTATGCACAAATCAAGTATTAATAAATATAACGACCAATTTCAAACCCTAATTTCAAACCCATTTCCTGTCTCTCTCTTCTCTCTCTAAACACACACAGTGACGGCAACTATCTTCTCTCTGACATTTGTTTTGTGCAATGCAACGGCGCCGACCATACCTGATATGAACGGCGCTCCCAGATTGTCATGACGATTTGAGCCCAGCAGCCATGGTGATGCCAATTTTGGGCGACGCTGCTCGTGGCGTAAGCTTCGGTGCTGTAACGATGGTGATTTTTCTGGTGTGCGTAGCTGCTTCTTTAAGGATTTTTTTGGGTGGGGATGTCGCGTGTACCTGACCGCTGCAGATGATGGCGCTATAATAGCTTCAGATCTCGCCGCTGCAACGGTGATAACAATGCGACGGCAACTACTGCAATCACAACTTCAGATTGTGGTACCTATAAGGTCAATGTTTGGGTTTTTTCGTTGTAGCGGTGCAGCGCTCATTGTGAGCGGTGTGGAGTAGTTTGGCGAGTTAGATTTGGTGGTATTGTATGGTGTGGTGGCGGTGTGGTGTAGTGTGGTGATGTGGCTGAGTGAGTTGGTGGCTGTGGTGCTGTACAGGCGATGGTGTGGTAGTCAACGGTGATGCACTGTGGCGATGATGGAGACGAGTGGGGTGTCTGTGACCAACAATTAGGCTATGTGACCATCTATTTAGGCATATGTGACCAAATATTAGGTGTATGTGACTAAAAAATAATTTGTGGCCAATAGACTGTGATCTATGTGACCCATAGCCAAAATATAACCTATAAATTAAACAATTAGTGACATCGAAATAATATGTGACCTACAAAATTTTTTAATTTGTGACCGCGAAATAATCTGTGATCAATTAATTTGACGATATGTGACTAATAAATAAAATTGCGACCTATAATTATGAATCTATGACCATTATCATGCAACTGTGAGTTTATTATCTTTATTTAATAAATATTTTTAATGAATTAAATGCATACCTGATTTTTGAATTTTCAAATTATTTACTTGATTTTTGAATTGAGGTAAACATAACACCTTATATGTGATTTTTTCCCTTTATTAAAAGAATGTTTGGTGGAAATTAAAATTAAATCTTTAGTAGATTTTGATAGAATTTTTTGAAATGTTTGACTAAAAAATTGTGTGAATCATGAAAGATGTAATTAATAATAATTGTTTGATTTTAACTTATATTAAAATCAGATTTTAATATGAATCAAACAGGGCTAAGCCATTTTAAAAAATTCCCCTAATTATTATTATTTATTATTTATTTATTATTATTATTTTTTTCTGTAATGTTAGACATTAACCAGCGAAAAATCCAAATCCAATTTGCAAGAATTTCGGATTCCTCTCTTCGCAATTGTCACACGACTCTGCCTCCCTCGATTAGCCCTAACTTCCAATCTTTGGTCGCTGCTGTTGAATCAAACGAGCTCTCCAACTGCCCAAATCGTCATCGCGGGTCGTCAATCTTTAGTTTTTGGTATCCTATTTTAGGGTAAGATTTCTGCTTGTGATACCTCTTTATATCTTCTTTGTCGGTCAGATTCTCACTTTTATTGAATTGGATTTTGTTGTTGCTGTTTATTATAAGCATTGCAGTCAAGCATCTGTAGTCATCCTTTCATTGTGGGCAAATCTATTTGTGTTTTCCTTGTGGAGATTGCTAGCTTTTACCTAGTCCATTCTCTATGACCTGTTCTATTTGTTCTGTTCTTTTGGTCGGTTAGTATGTATTCACTTTGTAATCAAATCTACTTCATTGTGTGAATCTATGAATTATGGTATTGGCAGCACCATTTTATGTTTATATAAAAATCAGATATTCATATGGCAATTGGAAACTGAGCATTTTTAATGACTGTTTTGTTATTCTCGATTCATGGAAGTGCTTAATTTCCATCTAGGGACATGGTTCAATCAAGTATGTTCTATTTGTGCACTTCTTGTTCATCAAGTATCCATGGAAATAATTTTGCTCAAGAAATCAGCTCGGTGTAGTTTGTAGAGTACACTTACTAATAGAAATATAGATAGGATTCTCTTGATTGCGAAATAGAAATATTAGTCTGTAAGAAATAAAATGATAAGATTTGCAAACTTTGTTAGAAAAAAAATATAGGAATTTAAAAAAAACGATGAGATCTGATTTTGCATAGAAATTTAGGTTAACATTTAGAAGAAACTTGATAGAAATTAGAAATCTAGATGCTGACATCCAAAATAAACGACGCAGAAAGTTATGCTTAAGCATTCTTTTCAACAGTGAAAGTAAATAGCAACCTAACAATAAAAAATCAGATGTAATTTTACCCCCACCATTGACATTGTCACACCCAAAATGTGCATAATAACTCCTACCCACTATGGTGGGTAGACAGAACATCAAATCCCAAAACTCAGAAACAACACTTAAAACAAAAATTTTAGACCACAATCGAGTAATAGCATCAAATGACTCAAATCTGTAACAATTTCAAGAAAAAATCTTCAGCATTTACAACCTTATGCACAATTAACAGGTTAATAACAATATTTAAATCTTAGTCTTTTGTTCACTTCAAATTTAGCTTTATTCTATAAATCGATGTTCATATTAAAAATATGAATGTTGGAAACAAATAAAATGTACATAAAAAAAATATAGAGAATGTATGTAAATTTTAGGACATGACTTTATGTGGTCAATTTCTTTGTTCTCAGACTCTGTGCTCTTCGTAAAGATTGGTTAGACCAAATTACATAAATAAGTTATAGTTGACAAATATATGTTTCATTTTTACTTTTTCTTACCCTGAATCAAGAACTTTATCCAGTAAGGCCCTGTTTGAGACCCATTATTTCTTCATTAAAATGAAAAATATGACTGTTATCCATCACATTAAGCCACTATATTTGACTTTTTATTTCTTGTGTGGGGCCCATAATGGTTATATGTTTCATTCACATTTTTACAATAATGTGGCTCAAACGGGAGCTAAATGTATAACTTTCTTATTTTCTTGATTTGGGTGGTGTTGCGAATGTGCACTTTGGTTTGGAAATACATAGATAAAAATATTAAATAAAGTCTTAAATCACTATAATTACAAAGTATAGTCTTTAAAATTAATTAATTTGGTCAGGTAAAAAACAACGAACAGTATAATGAAGAGGAATAAAAATCCTGTATTACACCTTCAGAAACAAACATCCCTGAAAGTACAAATTGTGTTGACTTTATTTAGGGTTATTTGTGTCAATTAGTCTTAAAATCCAAGCGAGCATTCAATAAGTCTTCAAAGCCCAAAGGCCCAAACGGTAGCATATTGAAGTTTTATTTTATTTATTTATTTTTTCTTTTGGGTATGAATAATTATTAATTAAAAAAAAAAAAAAGGTTGAACTCTAACTTTGAGGGTCCCCACCACCCCGCCCCTAGAGCTTTGTGAGGGAGGTAAATCGCGGGATGTGCCCTAGCAGGTCTGAGCCTATAGGAGTCCAATTTCATGTCTTAAGAATCGAACTCCCACACTGCGGTTACCAGTAAGGCATGAGATAATCTCACTACTGTCAATTGTACCATTGGACTATGCCCGGGGCATGAATAATTATTAATTAATCATCGGTCAGATTGCTTGCTTCCTTGTCATTATTCTCTAATTCAACTGTCATCATAATTCTTCGAGGTTTTCTTCAAATATAAATGCAGCTAGTTCTCTACAGTCCCCTCATTTACCAAAACCTTTCTCCTTCAGAAAAAATTGCCTGCACTGCGCTCTTCGCTTGTCTAGTAAGAATCCTCAGCCCCCTGTCTCTGTAGAAGTTAGATTATTTATTCCAGTAGTGTGCATATGCATATGATGGTTTTGATGAGTCGTTTGTACAGTCGTAGGAACTCTTGACTTTAGATTCACGAATATTATTTAGTGAATTTCATTTCTATAAATTTTGGGCTACGCTTGGTACTGTCGATTGGGATTTTGGAAGTGGATTTAGCAAATATAGCGTTAAAATAGAAATGAATTTTTCCAAATTTACATTTCAATTAATTCAGTTCTATATTCAAACTTCCAAGTGCAATTGAAAAGTACCCCAAGCTGCAGCCCACTAATTCGGGCTTGAAGAAAAAAAATCTAAGAAGCAGGTTGTTCGACTGCCATGACTAGGGTTTTTACAATGTTAGAGCCTTTCCATGTTCTATGGATGTTTTAGATTTTATGGTGAATTTTGGGTCAATGATTCTTGTCTTCATGGAAAATGTTCCAAGTTTATGCAAAGTCTGAAGGAAGTTTTCTGTTTACAATGATTTGACTTTTGTCCTTTTTTTGGGATGTTTTGTGCATTCTTCCTCATTATCTCTAAATATTAATGCATTGTGGCTGCAATTAATTGCTTTTTGTATTTATAACATGGTTTGATGTATTTTTTGAATGTTTTATAGCGTGTTCCACACCAGTGCCTCTTGAGCAAATCTTGGAACCTATGAACATAGAAACTATATGCATCAAAATCTATTTCTATTTATTAAATGTCACGTCATTCGTGGTTGATGGGTGGATTACCAAGGACAGGTTTTAACACCAAAGGATTATAGCCTATAAGAGAATAAATTTGGTCATTATGATTTTTAGCCCTTTGTTGTTTTTGTTCCGGCCTGGATTTTAAATAATGAGCTGTCTGCTACTGATTCTGATTAGTCAGACTACATGAATCATCAGATTTCTTTGATCTGTTAATTGTTTTGCTCTCTTGGGGATTTTTAGAAGTTATATTGTTGCACGCCATAAGTTTTTATTACCTGGGTGGTTTCTATTCTGGAGGTTTATTTAGACAATGAATTGGAAAGCAGTGTCTTCAGAAGTGCCAAAGGGGAACCTCATTTTAGGCCTTGATTAAGAGCCTCAAATCCTACACTGTCAAGGCTATGCATTTTGCTGACTGGGGGCATAAGCCTCAGGGGTCTGAGCTTGTGGCTGCAGCTGCGCCCCTTAGTTTTTCCCTTTATGGGCCTTAACATTCTTGGATTTTTGGGTCTTTTCTTATATCACAAAATGTTTTAATGGTTTTGTGGATGATTTTAGAAAAATCTAAAAATATGAGCTTGTCCCAACTTATTTTTAATGTTCTAGTTGAACATTAAGCTTATAATTTTGTTTAAATGTTATATGTCTTATTTTTTTAATGATTTATGAGAATATATATATATATACATACATAAATACAGAAATGATTTCATAAGTACCGGTTCTAAGCTTATGTTAAACACCAGTGACATGGCACATTATTTAATTGATAAATAAGTTAATGGTAGGTCCCATGTATTTAATGATTCACAAATTAAATGATGTTTCGTGTCACTGATACTTAATATAATATATATATATATATATATATATATATATATATATATTGTTTGTTTGTTTGTTTGTATTAATTTATTGGTTTTTATTGAGATTGGTACCTTGAAAGCATTTAGACTAATACCTTGCTTTACAGAGGGAAAAATGGCTCGACGCCTGATTTAGGCCTCATTTGGGATTGCTTTTAGAACAAAAAAATTTTTTGATTGTCAAAATTTTAGGTGTTACATAAATTAAATAAATATTTGATTATGGAACCTGCCCTTATTCTTTGAGAGTAAGCTGGTAAAGAGAGTGGATTTCCTGCTGCATTACCAAAATGTAGGAGAATATGTCATAGAATCTATTTCACGGAATGAATGCCATGGCATGTCTTCACAAAAAGAATCAATAACAATGTCAATTGCCACCTGGGATGAGAGATTTTCTTTCATAATGAAAAGAAGAATGAGTGTTGGTTATGTCGGAATAGCAACTTGCGGGAATAGGGTATATGTAAAATCTAGAAGTAGATTTATAGAATTTGCAAAATAGTAGCTTAATAGATCTGCTTCTAGCTTCTCTAATTACCCATCATTATGATATCAATTTTTATACTATTCTAGGCCTCCTGCTATTTTACGTCTATTTGAATTTTGTAAAATTGAAAATATTTGAGAATGAAAGTTGTAATGGATAATAGATTGCTTTCAAATCCATGTGTGCTAGTTCCTTTTACAGATATCTAGGGAATGCACCATTGAAAATATGAACTTTGCTTGTAGTTGCACATGTAGGTGCTATTGTTCTTGTTCAGGTACATTTCTGTAATTCATAGATGAGCTGGTTGAAAAAGAAAACTAGAAACATCTTTATTTAGCTCCAAGAATATTGTTAAAAATTTGTAGGTACTTTTATTGTTGGGGAAAACTTATCATTTAATATCTCAAGTGTTGTGTTTCTTAATTGGTTTCTGAATCCAACCCCTTTGTGACTGTTTCTCCTTATCTTTGTTAGAGGAAAACTCATCTTATTTGACTTGGACCTTTTTATCTAGCCAATAAAGGGCTCACTTGACAGGATTTTTGAAAAGTTAAAATCAGCTTTTGAGACTAAAAACTATTTTTGTAACATTTTTAAATATTTTTTTAAAAATATTTTGTTTAATTTGAAGAACTTAGAGGAAGTTGAACTAGGATAATTTTTTGAGAAAATTCTTCTACAAAAAGTAGAAGGAAAAGCAGAAGTTACTTCAAATAAGCCAACAAATATATTAATCCTAAGTGTTTATTATTATTATTATTTTGACAATATTGGCTTTATTATTATTATTATTATTATTATTATTATTATTATCATCATTATGATGATGACTCCTTGTGATTGTTTCCCCTTATCTTTTAGAGTTGAGTTGGATATTAGGAGGATGGTTTTTATCTATACGCTTATTATATTATTTATTCTTGTATATAATAACTGGCCTTTCAGTAGATAAATTATATACTTCAGGAAATTGTTCCATAATTTAAAATGTTCTAAAATAGGAACTTTAATAATCTTTGATATTAAGTTTGCAAATACCTACAAACACAATCAATTTTTTGTATATGGGTAAATTCATTAAAATTTTACGTGTTTTAACATGATATGTATAATAGCTGAACATGAATTTTAGATATAATTATCTCTAAAAATGTACTTTACTAAACTTACAAGTTAAAAACATATTATAAAAGAAATTACATAAGAATCTAGTTTTAACTATAAATGAGCACGTTCATAAACCATTTACTTATAACTAAATGAGTAAATTTTAAAATGAATGAAGCTTTTATTGATAAAAATAAAAATAAATAAATAACTTATTCTTACTTTTAAACCGTCCCTTGCAACAAATTCGAAGATAACTTTTTTAATTAAAAAAGAAAACAGAATGAGTGTTGTTCTTTTCCATATTGGGTGGGTTGGAAAATTCTTAGACTTGTTTGACATTCATAAATTTATTTTATAATTTATTATAGGATCGTTTTTAATAACACATTCTCATAATAAAATATTTTACATGCATACTGAAAAATTTTTCTACTTTTTTTAACCACACATTCTTTTGAAAATATCGTTATAACTCTTTTTTTTTTTTCCTTGTAAATCAGACAATAATTGATGTGGTTTACTTCTTGATTTTATCTTCCATTTGAATTGAGCCCATCAATTCATTCAGTTTCCTCGCTCTTTATATACCTATTTGCTTGTTGATTCTATTATTCAGATCTCTCAATCCATTATTTTTTCATATCCTTACAATTTCCTATATTTTCGTAAATTGCTATCCTTATTAAGTATCTGTCTCTCTCTAATTCACTCTCTTCCCTGGGATTTCACCACAGGTAATCAAGATTCCATAGGATTTGTAGATTTCTTCATGTATTTTTTTTAGTCGATTTTAATGAGTAAATGGTGTTAATTTAGATCCAATTACCCCCAACAAGGAATAAAGAAGATTTTTTCTGTATTTTCACTTATCCCTTTTTTTCTTTTTCTTTTTTGGCTCTTTTACGTCTTGATACTGCTCCCTTTTGGATCTAATGTTTTTCTTTTTAAAATATTTTTTGTTTCTCCTCCTGGTGCGGTGGAGGGTAGGGGTCTGGTATGTGGCCAATGGTGGGTTTGCTTGGAGGGTGATCACTTGACTTTTGATTAGTCATATTCAGACAAATTCGGAGTAAATTCCTATTTCTGGCAGGTTCATCAAAAGAATTAGTTCATCTCCATTCATGCATAAAGTTTTAGGCTTTCAGGAACTTTTGATTTATTTTCTTCTTTTTCTTCAAAAGTATAAGTGATTATTTACTACAGAGAAATGGAAGTCTGGGGTGGTTAAAACATCTGAAGTCATGGCCTCGGCAGGAACCACCACATTTTTTTCCAATCTTATCTGCGTTGTCTAGTGCATGATGATCTATTAGTATAAGGATTTATTTTTTTATTTTTTGTGGGTTGTTGAGAATTATTGTTTTGGTAGTTACTTGGGCATTGTGTGGGGGAAAAATCAATTCACGAAAAGAAAAATTAGGTATTAGCCTAGTTGGTTTGAAGAAGCAGAATTATAGAAGATCCAGTGAAAGTGGTATGGAATTCAAATTTGATTGGACAAAGCATAGATTATCTTTGGCTTTTACAATTTAAGCTATTAGACTTGCAACACATATCATGCCCTGGTCTACCATAAATGAAAGATATCATGAATTACTTTAATTAGGTATCAATTTTTTGGTTATTTAGATATTTGCTTTCAAGAGACACATTTGCTTAATGATCACTATATTATCAATTTGTTATATTTAGCTATTTGAAGAATGCTTAGTGTGAAGAAGAGAATTATAGAATTAGATTTGTGTTTCTCCAACTAGTAGCAAAATAACGTGAATCAGATATGTGTTACCAATTTGTAAAATTAAGGAGCATGATTTTAAATATAGTAAAATAGTAATATAAAATGAAGGCTTTAAAATGTCAAAAGTGTGAAAAAATAAAATACAATTAATTACACAAGTATTAACATTATAAATATAAAATTAACCAACAATTAATATTATAAAATTTAATGAAAATGTGTTAAAATTTTACAAATTCTTGATTGTCATTTTATTAATATTATTTGCAATCAAATCAAATAAATTTAAAAAAATATAACGATTTAAAATTGAGTTAATTAAATCAATGTTTAAGAAATGTTGCTTATCCATCACTTATATCAATTCTATCAATCCATGTGAACACTGTCAACTTTGCGTAAGATTTTATCCGTCCTCGTGATTTTTTTTTCTTTATTATTTTTTTTTATCAATATTAATGGATGGAATTGGTATGAATGATAGATGTTTAACCTTTTTTAAATATTGGTGAGTAACGAATAACTAATTAAATTTGAGTGAGCAAATAACAAGATAAAGTTTAGTCATTTCAATAATAATGAAGAAATGTAGGTATGGATTCTCAATACAATTGCACGAGTTATAGAACATTTCCACCAAATAATTATGTTATTGCATCAAATTTGTATGTTTCTTGGTACTAACAAATAGAGCATAAAATGTCTCTCTTGGTGTATTTGTGCTCTCAGCCAATTACCACTGCCTTTTTTTTTTTTTTTTTGGGTGCTTGCCTTTACACTACAATACATTTGCTGATTCAACTTCAATGTATAGGATTAACCATTCTTCTTGTTCTTCACATTCAACTTTGGAGAGGGAATTGGAATGCTATTTAAATTGTACTTTGGACAGCTGCTGTTGCCCCTAAAGTTTGGTAGAGCAATCAAATTTTCATCCTTAGCCACTTCTTCCAGTTGGGTTCACGACAACCAATTGTTCCAAAGACACCCTCGTTTACGAGTTCTAGAGGAAAATTGCAGTGCATTTCATCATTTCAAACAGGCTCTCTGTTACGTCATTGTTTCTGGTCTGCATCGGAACCCTTTTGTTATGAGTCGCATTCTTTATTTGAGTTTGTTTGAATTAGAAGGAGATATCAAGAGAAAATCAGAGTTTGGAGTTCAGATTTTTAATCAAATTGAGAGACCGAATATATTTTCTTGGAATACAATGATAAGATTTTTTGCTAATTGTGCTGATTTTCAAAATTCTGTTATAGCTTTGGATTATTACACGAAAATGGTTAGGCAAGAAGTGGTTCCTGATAACTATACATTTCCATTCTTGATTCAGGCTTGTGGGGCTATTTCGGATTTGGAGTTGGTTAAACAGATACATAGTCATGTTTTCAAACTCGAGCTTGGCAGCAACTTGTTTGTACAAAACTCTCTTGTTGGTGCTTATTTAGTTTGTGGGTCATCGGATGATACATGGTTATTGTTTGATGAAATGCTTGAGAAGGATGTTGTTTCATGGACAACTTTAATATCAAGGCTTGTTGAACAATGTAATTATCGTGAAGCACTTCAGGTGTTCAGGGAGATGATAGCTGGGAATTCCCAAACGCAACCAAATGTCGCTACTATGGTCTCTGTTGTGTCTTCTTCTGGTAATCTAGGATCCTTGGATCATACAAAGTGTTTTCATGCCTTGTTAGAAAAGGCTGGATGGATTGAATTAGATGTCGCCATTGCTAATTCACTTATAAATGCTTATGCAAAAAGTGGAAGTATGAAATGTTCAGCAAAAGTGTTTAACGAATTGCATGATTCAAAGAGGGATGTGTATTCGTGGACTGCGGTTATCTCAGGATATGCAATGCACGGAGGAGTTAATGCTCTAAATCTGTTTTCTCGAATGAAGTTAGTGTATGGAGTAATTCCTGATGCTATAACTTTCATTGCGATTCTTTCAGCTTGTGCACATTCAGGACAGGTTGAAGAAGGTTTACGCATTTTTGAGTGTATGAATACAAAATACAAGATTGAGCCTAATCTTAAGCACTATGGTTGTATTGTTGACCTCCTAGGTAGAGCTGGCATGCTCAATGAAGCTTATAGTGTAGTCCAAAAGATGCCATGGGAGCCAAATCTGGCCATATTGGGATCTTTACTTAATGCTTGCAGACTTCACAATAATGTCGAATTGGGGGAAACCATCCTAAAAAAGATCATGTTGGTCTCTGAGAGAAGTGGAGCCCCTGTGCTTGTATCGAATATGTATGCAAACGAGAATCAATGGAGCAAAGTTAGTCGCATTCGGTTGAAAATGAGAGGAGTAATGCAAGAAAAGCCCCCAGGTAAAAGTTGGATTCAGGTTAAAGATGCAGTTCATGAGTTTGTAGTTGGAGTTAAATCTCATCCCCAATCCTTGGAGCTAGATATGGTTTTACAGGGACTGGAAAGCCTTACTAAAATGTGATTTTGTACAAAGAAAATCCACAATCAAAATCCTATTATTTGGTGAAGGCTCTACATTATCGCATTCTTAAATAGTTCTTTCACACTGTTTTTGTAAGTTCAACTTGTAGCGTATCAAGATTTTGTTCACACCTATACCCCATCAAATGATTATTCAAACTATTTGATAATGAGAATGTATATAATTCATTGTTATATTTTTTTTTCAAGCTGTATATCACTATATTAGAGCTTGTTGGGTATAGTTATTAATTCAATTAAAATCAATTTTTTTACCGTTATTTCACTATTCCAACCATTATTTTTGAATTCTTCTTTCACATATAGGACTCACTTTATCTTTAATGGTCAAAAATTCAATTATCAAAATTCCTACCAAACAAGCACTTAGTATGTATTCCAACTTCCTCATGGTCCATTTTTTAATTTTTTTTTCTTGCCAATTAGTGTGTATTCCAACTTCATCTCAATATATTTTGTTGTTAGAAGTAACAATGATGACCATATATATATTTCCATTGAAATCTAATCTACTCTTGAAAGTTCTACAACTAAATTTACATTACAAATTGAAAGATGGAGTTCTCTTAAAAACCTAAGTTGCCATTCTTATGTAGTATAGAATTATATTATGCTGCAGGGCTTCCAGCCAAGTTTCTAGCACAGCGTTCCACACACTTGAGATCATGAATATGTTGTAGATTTTATATTTTTCTTTTTCTTTTTTATTTTTTTTTTATTTTCTTTTTGGGAGAAGAACAACTTGTTTATAGATGGAGAATAAAGATTGTTTCAAAAACTTTCAATCTGCTTGAAGAGCTTATAGCCTTTGATACTTGTGATGAAGCTCATCCGAAATGGAGAACTCATTTTGTTCCAATTCAAATCCAATGAATAAGATGTTATTGTCAAAATTGGCTGGTTATTGATCTCCACTTGATTCAATTCTCCTTCTACAATATTCGTATCAGTTGCATTAAGAAGCGGAAGGAGTATCTTTGTCATTGAGCCATTTTCTTTTCTCTTCGATTGGTTTCTCCAAGATTGAAAATGTTGTAACTCTTATCGTACTTCTTCACATTTGTGGACATGAAATTCTCAACGATTTTATTTCAGTAGGCAATTGTTGCTAATAATCACCCAATGCTAAAAGTTCGGGCTTTCAGAGCCTTGAGATCCTTTAGCATGCATAGTCTCTGTTCTTCAAACTTTTCAATGGATATGTCTAGCACATTTAAGTTGATATTATATTCCAACCCATTTACTTGCAAATCTTTCATAGTATCATCAGAATTGTCATAATAGCTTTCTTGATGAAGGTCGAAGTTGTTATCTTCGTAATCCTCTTCCTGATCAATATGTATGGAATGTATATTATTATGTCTATTATTGATGCTACTTGCAAATGATGGTCTATGTGTAATGCTTCATTTATGCTTCTTCACATAATCTTTTCTCAAGATTTGTAATCCAAACTTTATCAGACAAAGCATAGAAAATCTGATTGGTATCAACTCAATTAGCTCGAAGAAGTAGAATTATAGAATAACTAGTGAAGTGGTATGGAATTCAAATTTGAATTGACAAAGCATAGAAAATCTTTGGCATTTACAGCTCAAACGATCTGACTTGCAACATATTTCATGCCTTAGTCTACAATGATGAAGGGTATCATGAATTACTTCAATCATGTATCGACCTTTTAGTTATCCAGATGTTTGCTTTCGAGAGACACATTTCCTTAATGATCACTAGGTTATCAATTTGTTATGGTTAACTATTTGAAGAATGTTTAGTGTGAAGAAGAGAATTATTGAATCGGGTGTGTTTCTTTTCTTCACATAGTGATTATTAAGCAAATTGATAACAAAATGATCATTAAAGAAATGCGTCTCTTGAAAGCAAATATATAGATAACTAAAAGGTCGATATCCAATTGAAGTAATTCATGATACCCTTCATTACTGGTAGACAAAGGCATGAAACGTGTTGCAAGTCGGATCACTTGGGCTGTAAAGGCTAAAGATTTTCTATGCTTTGTCCGATCAAATTTGAATTCCATACTTTAGTATTCCTTCGAGCCAACTGAGCTGATACCAATTAAACCTTCTATGCTTTGTCTAATAAGGTTTTGGATTACGAATCCCGAGAAAAGATTATGTGGACAAGTAGAAATGAAAGCACTACATGTAGACCATTTGCAACTAGCATCCATAATAGACATAATAATGAACTTTCCATAAATACTGATCAAGAAGAGGATTACAAAGATAGCATCTTTGACTTTCATTAAGCTGTTATGACAACTCTGGTGATGCTATAAAAGATTTGCGGGTAAATGGGTTGGAATGTAACATCTACTGGAACACACCAGACATATCCCTTGAAGAAGAGAGACTATATCCTTGGGGATCTCAAGGCTCTAGAAGCCAACTTTTTGCATTGGGTGATGATGAGCAATAATTACATGCTAACATAAAATCAGTTGAGATTTCATAATTACAAATGTGAAGAAGTACGATGAGAGTTTACGGTATTTTTAGTACTGAAGGAAACCAATTAGAGAGAAGAAACGATCTCTACGACAAAGACACATTCCACTTCTTGATACAACTGACTCTGTAGAAGGGGAATTGAATCAAGTGGAGATCAATAACCAACTAACTTAGGCAATAACACCTCATTCAGTGGATTTTAATTGGAGCAAAATGAGCTCTCCATCCCGGATGAACTTTATCACAAGTATCAAAGATTACAAGTTCTTGAAGCAGATATGGGGTTTTTGAAGCACTATTTATTCTCCATCAATAAAGGAACGGTTCTTTTCAATAAATAAATAAATAATAATAATAATAATAATAATAAAATTGTAGCTTGTTCGTGATCTCAAGTCTGTGGAACTCTATGGTAGAAACGTGGTTGGAATTCCTACAACATTATATAACACTGAACTACATAAGAATGACCGTTTATGTTTCTAAGATAACTCCCATATTTCAATTTGTATTGTGGATTTAGTTGGAGAATTTTCAAACTTTCTTCAGTAAAAGTAGATTATATTTCGATGGAAATATATGTAAAGTTAGCATTGTTATTTCTGACAACAAAGTAATACTGAGATGCATCATTGGCAAGAACAAACTAAAGAATGGACCATGACAATATGTGATTTAAAGACAAAATATAACGATAAATTTTATACATTCCTATTATCAAATAGTTTGAACAATCATTTGATAGGGTATACGTGTGAACAAAATCTTGATAAGCTGCAGGCCGAACTTATAAAAACAGTGTGAAAGAACTATTTTAACTAAGTCTTTGTTTGTCAATTATTTTATCACATTATTTTTTTTATAGTACTCATTTTTAACCACACATTCTTCATTAAAATAATATTACACAAATAAAAAACTTTTTCTTCCTTTTTAACCACACATTTAAATATCAATCACTATTCTATAATACACTTTAAAATTAAAGGGCCATAAACAAGCCCTAAGAATAAGATAATGCAGAGCCTTCACCATTCACCAAATAATTGGATTTGGAATGTAGGTTTTCTTGATACAAAATCACATTTTAGGCTTTCCAGTTTTTGTAATAACATATCTAGCTCCATAGCTTGGGGATGAGATTAATCTCCAACTACAAACTCATGGACTGTATCTTTAACTTGAATCTAGCTTTTAACTAGGGGTTTTTCTTGCATTACTCCTTTCATTTCCAACCGAATGTGACTGACTTTGTCATACATATTGGATACAAGCACGAAGCCTCCTCTACTTCTCTCAATGACCAACATAATCTTTTTCCATGATGGTTTCCTCCAATTTAACATTGTTGTGAAGCCTGCGGGTATTAAGTAAAGAATCGAATATGGCCAGATTCGGCTATACTATAAACTCGTTTGAGCATGCTAGCTCTACCTAAGAGGTCAACAATACAATCATAGTGCTTAAAATTAGGCTCAATCTCATATTTTGTATTCATGTACTCAAAAATGCGTAAACCTTCTTCAACCCGTGTCTTGAATGTGCACAAGCTGAAAAAGTCGCAATGAAAGTTATAGCATCAGGAATTAGTCCATGCACTAATTCCATTCAAGAAAATAGATTTAGATCATCAACTCCTTGAATACACTTCCTTCTTTGAATTATGCACTTCGTCAAACACTTTTGCTGAAAATTTCATACTTGCACTTTGCGCATAAGCATTTCTAAGTTAGCAATGCCGACATCTAATTCAAGCCATCTAGCATTTTCTAGCAAAGCATGAAAACACTATGTATGATCGAAGGATTCCTAGATTACCACAAGAAGACATAGGAGAGACCATAATAGCGACAAATTGTTCAACAAGTCTTGATATTAAAGTTGTCCATCAAACATCCTTCTCAAGCATTTCATCAAACAATAAACATGCATCATCCGACGACCCACAAACTAAATAAGAATCAAGTAAACAATTCTGTACAAACAATTTGTTACCATGCAAGATTTTGAAAACATGACTATGAAATCATTTTCAACCAATCGCAAATCAGAAATAGCCCTAAAAGCCTGAATCAAGTATGGGAATGTATAGTTATTAGGAACCGGTCTGGCCGGATTATTATAGGCTGGTTTCATGTAATAATCCGAAGCTATCACAGAATTTTGAGAATCGACACATTCGGCAAAAAGTCTAATCACTGTATTCCAAAAAAATATATTAGATCTCTCAATTTGATTAAAAATCTGAACTCTTAACTCTGATTTTCTATTAATATTTCCTTCTAATTCAAGCAAACTCAAATAAAGAATGTGGCTCATGACGAAAGAGTTCCAATGAAGACCAAAATTAATGATGTAAGAGAGAGCTTGTTTGAAATGTACTGCAATTTTCCTTAAGGGACTCGTAAGCATGGGTGCCTATGGAAAAATTGGTTGTGGTGAACCCAACTAGAAAAAGTGGTTAGAGATGAAAACTTGATTGTTCTACCAAACTTTGAGGGCAACAACACCTGTCGGAAGTACAATTTGAATAGTATTCGAATTCACTATCCATACTTGAACATGAAGAGCAACAAGAATTGTTAATCCTATATATTGAAGTTGAATTAGTAGATGCATTGGGGTGTAGAGCCAAGCACAAAACAAAGTACATCAAATGGCAATAGGCTGAGAGCACAAATGCATTAGGAGAGACACTTTATGCTCCATTG